TGATTGCTTAAACCACGAGCCCCTATCTGTTTCAGTTAGAATTTTTTAATTGCCTGTCCTTATCAAATTTCTTTAATTTCTTGTGCTCAGTGCCAGGCTTCTTTCTTACTTCCATCCTAGTACTACTCTCCTTTTTATCTTTCCTCACTTACAGTCTAGTTCTATATGCAGTCAGATAGCAAAGATTATCTTGTGCAAATTGAATCAGATATTTCTGGAATTATAATTCAATAGCCAGGATGTTTTGCTGCAAAAACCCCTTCTTACTCATTAAGGGTGACACTACAATTGGCTATTCACACTTTGGCAGGCTAAAGAATCCAGTTTGAAAATATGTTTTTGTAAATAACCTGTGCATTTTAACATGTTACTAAACTTTTCATTGGAAACCGTGACCTTTTTGGAAAATGAGGAATTTAGCTAAATTACTAGTCACCTCCCATGAGGAACCACTGACTGGCATGGTATTCTAGGTTTGCATATATGGGAGGGTGAGTTGTGTTTGTTTCAGGAGCAAAATCTTAAAAATCTTACTTATAAATCTTTTGATACATTTTAGTTTGCACACATGTAACACATTATCACAGCTACTGAATGTTTCAAACCCTCCCTCACTTTCACTGTTACGACATGTGGATGAAAAACAAGCTGGATGAGTTCCTTTATTATAATCCTTTTGTTTTCCTTTTAGGTCCTCCTGTTGTTAAGATCGTCCCCCCTGCACTGTCCACTTTAAAGGGTGTTACAGCAAGTTTCACCTGTAACGCGAAAGGTTTTCCTTTGCCAAACATTGTATGGATGAAGCAGACTAGTTCGGGTGAAAGTGAAATTTCCGCCAGCAGTGTCAATGTCCGAATCAACTCTCATGATGGTTCATCTCAGTTGATCGTGCTGAATACTACAACCGCAGACTCAGGCTATTATAGCTGCAAAGCTTCAAACTACGTATCTGATACTGCAAGAGCCTTCCTTGGAGTTGTATGTAAGTTACATCTTAACATGTAGAAACCCCTGTGTAAGCTAAAATAGCCTCATTAATGCAACCTTAATCCAGAAGCCAGTACTGGGAAATTACAGTTTTGCCCTCTTAATCACAAAAATATTAGTTGATGGCTTTATATCTTGAAACCCTCCTTTTAGTCAAATAGAGAATTTTTGGTTTTGTCGGGCCCTTGTCTCTGCATTTCGACATTGTTATCAATTTAAGTATAAAAGGTAAGTCGTTGAACGTTTTTTCTTTGTGTGTTTTACTCTAAACATATCTAACGTATCCTCTGAAGAGAATTGTAAATTGAAAGGAAAAAGAAAAGGAAAAGACCAAAAAGATGTTGACATGGCCATGGCTCGAACCTAAAATCTTCCAACTAGAGAGGAGTAGGTTATTAATTGCGCTAGGTACGCAGAGCGTGCCAAGTTAAAAAGTTCTGTGTTTTAGAAATACTATGCCCATTATTTTCATTATGATGCCCATTATTTTCATACGTGTACCCATTCTTATAATTTCTGTCCTGTCCCTGGCGGTCAGTTGGCTTGTCTACAAACTCTGTTCTAACCAAGTCCCTTTTTTGTCACAAGTTCTGACCATTTTACACCACATTGCTTTTTTACTGCAATACTTTACATCTATACCACAGTAGTACCCAAGTCCATAGCTGCACCCGTTTCCACAGGTGCACTCATGTCCATAGTTGCATTTGTGTCCTTAGGTGTATTCATGTGCAGGTGCACCTTTGTCCTTATGTGCACTATTGTCCGTAGGTGCACCCATGTCCATTGGTGCACCTGTGTCCATGTTGCACTTGAGTCCGTAGATGCGTACCTACCCGTAGGTGCAGTTGTTTCCATCTCTGTACCTGGATGTGCATCTGCACATGGATGCGCGTCTGAACAAGGATTGCCATTTTATTTTAAGAAGAGCTGAAATTGTTCATGGTGTATTTGAAATAAAATTGAAGTACATCAAGGGGTACGTTAAGGCAAAATGTGAGGGATGATTTGCGAAAAAACGTGTTTGAAAGAGGTTTCTTTACTCTCTTTCAAGATCCAGCGTCGCACGAGGATCCTGATTTGTGTCCCACAAGTTTTGATGCAACCATTGGGGAATCTGTCCAATTGGGCTGTCCTTTCCAGGAGTTTCCACCTCCTCAAGTTAGCTGGGAACTGCCTAATGGAACTCTGATTGAAACAGGAAGCACTATTTTGCATGTCACAATCAAGACTGAGAATGACTTTGGACGCTACAGGTGCATTGCAAGGAGTCTGGAAAAGAATGTCCTTACAACTAACATCACCATTCGTAAGAGAAGTAAGTACAACGTGCATCACCTCCTCTCCAGGGAGAAATGAATACTACAGGAAAAACCATCTTGAGATTTAAGTACAACTGGTATTTCACAAATTGAGGCTTCTTACAACAACACCTGGCCTTGTCTCTGGCTGACCAAAGGCGAGGCCAATACACTTAAAAAATTGTTCAGGCAATATAAATGTCGGTACAGAAATATGCAAAAAAAAAGGAAAAAGAAGAAATATGTAAAAAAAGGACTTAATTCCTAGCAGTCAGTCACAGCAGTCTTTATAAAGGTTTAAGACGTTTATTTCGTATTTTTCAGTGAATCTAGTGATTCAGTGATTCTAGATGACGAATATCTCCCTTTGGGCTTATTATGCAATCACTATATTTTCGACGCTTAAAAAAGTTTGAACCAAGAACTTTTTCACTAGCCCAGAATAAATCATCCACTTCAAAACCAAACTAATTTCAGAATCACTGGCATTGAATGTACTCTTTATTTTCGCATAAGGCGATTATCTCTGATTACAAAGCAGTTAGGCTGTTTGAGACACCACCTGGCAGTCTGATCACAAGAACCTTCTGATTTTCTCAATGTGCGCAAGTTCTGAAAACTCGTTTACCGAAAGAATATTTGAAATCGTGGTAGAGGCCAAACGTCTTAGACTTCAATTAGGTTTGTACGAGGTCTCCTTTAGAAGTTCGGTCAATATTTTTTGATGACTAGGCTGAGCTGAAAAAAGGAAATTTTGAAATTATCGAAAACATGGTGATTTTACACCGTACAAAAAACAAAATCTACAAACGATCTACAGTTTCTTTTCTTCGCTAGAATAGGTGTAAAGATCTAGAAAGGCATTCCGAGATACCTCCGTAGGTTAAGGAAAATGCTCTTCAAGGTAATTGGAAATCCTAAGTTTCTCTCGCTCTTTAGTAAGCTTTCATCCGTAATTTTGTTTCCATTCTCTACTTTTTGGTTGTATCATCTATACACGTGATGGTCTCGCTCACTATATCGTTGTATTTTTTTTTTTTTTCATTTTCCCGGGGCTTCTTTTACTACATCCCCTTGATTGTTTAGCTCGTGTTGATTATTTGTCTGTCCATGTATATCATTAGAATGTATGAGCTTCAGACTGATGTTGATCACGATTTTCTACACCCCTCCTATCACTATATCGCTTTGCATTTTCAGTTTGCCATGACCACAAAATACCTTTCATAACAGTTATCTTTCTTGTTAGCTTCAAAACCTTACATAAATGACACCAAGATAGTTCTGACCGATGGCGTCAAATTTGTGTGGGAAGAAGTACAAGGAGCAAGTGACTACCTCCTCAGGTTACCTGAGACTAACTTCTTGAAGGAAAATTCTCTACTTGGGGCTGGTACCAATACTTCTGTGGAGATTCCTTACAGCAGTTTACTCTTCAAGCGTGATACCAAAAAGAGACCACTTAAAGTAGTTATTGAAGTCTGGGCCTACGGCAACTCAAGCGTTGTTGTGAAAGGAACGCGCTATACTAATGTGGGTATGTATGAAAGCTATACCAGTTTTTCATCAAAAAGGAAGATATCATCTTTGTTTTACCGGGGGAAAAATTTTTGCTTATACTTAACCTCGGTCCTTTACTGCCGCGGAATTCTGAGAGTGTACAAACGTCAAGTGCACTTTATGTTAGAGGTTTGCAAACATTTTTCTATGTCAGCTTTATTGGGCAGGGCGTAACCGTTTAATCATCCTGAGTGTGATTCGTATTACGCGAATATATATTTTTTGCAAGTCCTTAGGGCAACAACGAAAGAAGCAGATAATAGATGAGAATGACAAAATGAACCTATCAACAGGGAGACTGAAGCAGAAATTGATGTCAATATTCACGCACTCCAAAACAAATTTACCTGTATGCTTGAGTTGGGTGCCACTATAACTTGATCAATTGTAAAAAAAAGTATGTTTCAAGTTTCAACTCGATGAAACTACGTTTGTAGAGGGAAGCAGTGACTTGTGTCATTATACGTTTGGACAGTGCTGGGACGGAAAAGAACGGAATGTACGAAACTGTTCTACCAAATTGGGGTGGGACTAACTTTGAGCATTCACTTGGCTAACAGAAGGGCAGAAATCAGCCATTAAGTTCTTGGCATTAGGGATCTGCGGCAACTGGACTTCAAGCAACATAAGAGGGACTGTGGAATCCAATTTCCCCTAACACTTGTTATTTCGCGTCATATGATTAACATATGCTGGTGTGTCAAAAATTAATCGTGCGATTCGTATTCTTTTGGTGATACTGGGTATCCTTTCACGGCAAAAATTGCCTTAAAAATTGATTTCGGGTAAACCCCTAATGCCTTTCTTTACTGCGTTGAATCCGAACCTCCTTCCTCAGGCTTGGATAAGTTCTTTGTACTCATTTCTGACTTTCTGTGCTTTATCAGGGAGAGAATTTACCTCGGAAAAAATAAACTTCGTGAGCTCCAGCTATCGTAACATAAATTGGAAGTGGAAGAAGTAACAGAACAAAAAAGTGCACAATTTAGCCAAAATGCAGCATACCTCAGTTTTTCTATAGCCAGTAAGGGGAAATCTAGTTTCATTTGCCCAAAAGACATTATTTTTAAAATTATTTTTAAAAAAGACGGTTTTTCTTGTTTTGTTATTCTTTTTACCAAATGGTAACGGGTTTTTTTCTTTTTTCCGCAGAAATCCGCTCAGGTGCAGCAAATTCTACAGTTTCCTTGATGTCACTCTTGAAATCAACTAGCAATGAAAAGTATCTAACGAAAACAACGCGTTATACTGACGAGAAATAAAACGCTACCGGTGTTACGTAGCTCTGACGCACCCTCACGCAAAAACGCGAACTCGCTGGAATAGAAACACAACATACAACAGTAGTTTAATTGAAAGAGAAAACAATATAAAATAATTTCACAGCTACTTGACGATAAACGGAAATGCAAATTCTAGTCGCTACATGGCTCTTGCAGATGAACAAGTTACGCTCTCTCAAAATTATCACCGTAGTAGGTAATAGGTGCCTCTTAAACTGCGCATAAGGAGTCGTTACCGAACAGGAAAATTGACTGCTCACACCAAGAGCACAGGCCTGATTCCGCCTGAACCAGTTAGTTCAGATTGAGAACTGAACAGTTCTAGTTATTGACCACACGGTCCGTTTGGCCACTTCTGACTGCAATTAATTGAAGTAATTACTTTTTTCAAAGACTTAGTCTGTAATAGTGATATACTAACTTACCTTCAGTTTCTATGGCGTCAACGTAGCCTACCACCAAAACAACACGACCCAACTTTTACGACGGGGGGCCCGACTAAGCACAATCAAATTCCTACGTACCATTTACATTTCAATTTTTCGAAGAGGTTTAAGCGCGAAGAACAAGCCATGTTGGAGTTCTGCTAAAAAATCTTCATGGTCACTTAGATTCTTAATATTTTTCTCAACTACTCAATATTAACAATAGCCATTTTTTGGAGCAAGCCTAACTTTCAATTTGTGTAAACCTCCTTCTGCCAGCCGTTATTTTAAGGTTGCACATTTTACGTTAAGAGAACTACCAAACGCTAACTGATCTACTTATCAAATTACTAGTTACTACGTTAAGGTTAGAAACATGTTTGGGGTAAAAGATAAGGGTGAAACCTCTTGCAACAAAGATACATGCATCCGTGAGTTCCGTGTGTCAGACAAGGCCACAAAAAATTATAAGCCCTCTAAATCATCAATCCTGTCGTGGTTCACGCTCTGCAAAATCTCTCGATTTTGGATTCTGCCGCCTCGACTTTTCAAATAAAGATGAAAGAGGCCTTCATATTATTTTGCGGAAAAATTTGCGACAACTTAATTAATTTCTTGCGTGTGATATTGAAAAATCACCGATAAGTAGAAGCTTGTAAAACCTTGTGGCTTTAATAAATTTACTTAACTTTGTACGTTTACTTTACTCAAGTGTGGTCTCGAGGTTTTTGTGACGTAAAATTGTCTTTATAACCTTATTCTTTTTTTCAATCAGATGAGAAGGAAAGGAATTCCTTTTAAGAGTCACTCAAAGGCAGATATGGTATCCAAATGTTTCTCTAGTTTTCGTAGATTTCATTCACCCATGAACAAATCTGAATTCCGTCATAAACGCGGGAAGTTTGGATGGTGCTAAAGAAGATTCGAAAATTTACTTCGTAAGTGAGACAGACCAAGCCCCGGTCAACCCTGAAGAAAACCTCCCTTATTGTTCGACTGATCTTTTTTCATTTTCCTTGGAGAGAACAATAAATCTGAAGTGAGTTGCATAATTGACTGATGTTATGGGTAATTTTTGTTGCTTCTAGAAATTCCCAGACTGTTGAGTCATGCCGACTTGCACATCGTAGAACTTTCCAGAACATTTCATCAAGTCGTGTATTTATTATTTAATTCTTCTTAAATAGTTCTTGTGCAAGCTTCTGGAATGTTCTAGAACACTTTGTGCATATATATATATTTATATTTATATATTAAGACTCACTTATGTAGTGGTAACAGTTGTTATCGTCAGAGCGACGACTTTTTTTGAAAGCTATACCGAGAGAGAGCTACTGTGGAAGATTGCTCGTTTCAAGGGACTTTGGAGACAGCAGTGAGATTTTGTCAGTGGTGAGCTAGGATATAGAATCTGTAGGGCTTAATTAAGTTTATTAACGATAAGTATTGTACTCCTTTAAAGATTCGCTCCTTGTTAAGAACATTACTCGCTGTTTATTAAAGTAGTTGAGTTTGTAGAATTGTAGCGTTTTTCTGTCGGTAAGATTATACCGTAACAACTAAGACCACGCGTATTCGAACTAGTCGCAAAATACGATATTGAATTGCTCAGCTTTCGCGATCTTCGCACCACGTGGACGAACTAACGAGAATCCCACGTATTGCCAGCTTCTTTCGAATCTTCGCGCTCGTCGTCTCGTCATTTCTACGCATCTGTTGATCTATGAAAGCTCTTGCTTTTAGAGACAGCTTCTTCGGACTCCCCGAGCGAGTTAAAATTGCTATGGAGCCTCTTGATTAAGTGAGTGATGCCTGAAATGCTCCCAGTAACTCTTCGATTTTCAAGCTCTTGAATATTCCATCTGGATGGAAGCCTTGGTTATACAGCAGCTCGATTCGAGTTCTCGTATAGCTTGGAATTTTTGGTTTAATAACTACCAGTGTGCAAAGAAATCAATGAATGAATGACAGTATTGTAAACGTAGCGTTGGTTTACCATGCGTTGTTTGCGAACAGTTCAAGTCACGCTTCCCCGCGCGGAGTCTCGACTACAAGAGGGGAGTTTGATGTGTTGTTGTATGAGGAAGTTAAGCTTAACAAACATACGTGGGATTCTCGCTAGTTCGTCCACGGCACGAAGATCGCGAAAGCAGCAAGGCTGGAGTCTGCAGCTGACTGTCTATTGCCTGCTGATTTCTGACGCCAAGAAAGCCAAGTGGCGACACTTTCCAGAACATGATTTTCAGCAACGAGTGCTCGATCTCCCTCCAATCTCATAGTCGCAGGTGCTTCAGAATGGCGGACAAACCCACAAAGCGCAAGCCGAAACCGAAGCATCCACTCAATGTTCATGTGTGGGGGGGAATCAGTAGACGTGGTGCCACCAGGTTTTGCATCTTTGATGGCATCATGGATGCTGATCTCTACGCAATGTTCTTGAGACGACGCTCGTTCCATTTATTAGAAATAAACTTCCCGAGCACCAGTTCATGCAGGACAGTGACCCGACGCATACGTCCATGTGAGTGCAAGCTGTCCTCTGGTGATCAATTTACGTAAAGCAAAACGAAAAGGGAAAAAAGGAGAGGGAAAAGGACTCAAGCTATGTGTAGGCTCTCAGAATGGAACGCTAACCGTTTAATGAAATAAAACATGTTGATATCAAGATTACGATCAGTTTGCCCAAAGGGAAAACAGAGTAATTTTCGTCGAGTGATTTTCGCCAACTGATTTTCGCCGACGTTTATTGAATCGTACTTAACTTGCATAGAATGAGAGTATATTATATTAGTATATTGCGACATTAAAAGAGCTTATAAATACAGCGAAGTTTACAGAAACGGACTTAACGTCCTTTCATTGTGTTAATTGCAAAGAATGACAACGTGACCTGTAGCACGAGTTTCATTCTTATGAACGCGATTCGTAATCAAATCGAATGAAATTTACATCATACGTAAGGTTAGATCCTAATGTTAAACTTATTTTTGGTTTTAAGGGTGTGAAATTAAAAGTGCACACAAACGCGGTGAAATTTTTCAGAAAGCGACTTGGTTTCCTCTGGGGGTCTCTGCTGGCAAACGGATCAAACTTTGAATATATTAGTTTCACACACCACCTTTTCTCCGGGGTTAGAAATTAATTTCATCGTGAAGCAGGAAAACTGCTTTCGATTATCTTCCAATAGCAATAATAATAATAATAATTAACGGGCGAGTTTAGAATTATCAACAAGCATGTCTTATTTTTTTAATTTGAAGGACCTGAAACAAAACTATCAAGGAATAAAGGCTTGGAAAAATACTTTGACCAGACAAAGCCTACGCGTGTCTATTGTCATTAGAACTATTTCAACAACAACAGGCACGCGAAAGGACGCAAACTTAATTATTGTCAACCTTAAGTTGCAAACGACAAGGTAGTTTGCATGATAATGTAAACTAAAAAAGGCCAATCAGATTACAGACTTTTCGATCCGACTTAGCCGTAAGGGAAGTATGAAAGTCCAAAATCGTCTGCTTTAGCCGCTTTTATTACCACCATTAGAATTGAAAATCTATCATAGGAAACGAAGTTGCTAGAATCATCTGGAAGCGTGGACAGTATTCGGACGTTTACCGTTCAACATTAATCAATCCGTCCCTGCTTAAAGAGGGACAGAAAGCGAAGTTGATCAGGGGAAAAACAGATGTGGATTGCTACCCACTAGAAGAGGAGGTCCAGCAAACTTTCACAGAGAGCAACCTGCCAACACGCCCAGCAAGGGCAAAGAAGAAATTGGTGAGTATTCGTTCAGCAGACTGCCTTTAAGTTTGACGTATGTATACTTGTTAATTTTAAGAGATTTTGGTGTATTTTTATCTTTCTCGCAGATTCCAGAGTCACCCTTGGCAAAACCAAATAAAACCTGAAGGCACGGGGTAAACATGGTTTTTCATGGGGAGGATGAGCTCTCCGATGCATCTAGAGATTTCAAATACCACCTTGAGTTCTTGACACTCTAGCATTGGGTTGTATGCCCCCTTGATTACATTTTGTAGCTCAAGCAGCGTTGAGGCGTTTCTTTTGTTGAGTTTTACTGTAATTCTGCTGAACACCTTTAAGAGAAAACCAATGTTATCATACATCAGTAATGGTTATGATTATAGTAAAGTTAGGATTTATTTTCAGTATCATCATCATTTGTTACCTGATCAACATCTTTATGGGTGATCATGAAGATGCCCGACCATAATGAAAGAAATTTAGATCTGTTAAAAGAATAACAATCTCTTTTAGATACTCGAAAGCAGTTGAGAAAAACCAAACTACAAGCCAGAAAGTTACACCAAGAGATACAGTCACACTTTGTAGAAAATGCAAAATGTCATTTACCTCCTCGAATATCTTCATCTTTATAAAATAGGCGGAAAAATCCACTAAGTATCGGTTCTTCATCCCCTGTAGCAATTGTCCATCTGCAACTGCAAACATTCGTGCAGGCTGCCACCATTCTACGAAAAACAAAAGGAGTGAAAAAAGGATCAAAATATGTTACTGGCCATACATTAAATTCTTCTAATATGCAGTAAATAAAACATGATGAGGACTTTTTTCACAGACCTAGACGTTCTGACACAAATAAATATGCTAAAGGAAAAAATCGGTCCTGACAAGCAATATGAAAAAGGCACATGTGACTACTTCGAAGATCTGCAAGGGGTAAATATGGAAATATGTAATACTTATATCGGAATTAAAATTCTTTTTTGTTGGGTTTATAAATTTTCAATAACAGTTATAGAGCACAAAACGCTTTTATTAAACTGGAAGGGGTTCACGTAACCTTTACAGAATACAAACTGTTACTCTACTGTATTCTCCTTGTAGTTTTTGGAGTGGCAAATATCTGGAGAAACTATATCCATAATTGTAAATTGTTTCACTGTTTCTAGACTTTTGATCGAAATTGCCACTACAATTTTTGTCTTGGTATAGTATGTACTGCTGCTCACTGTTGGAAGCTCAAGGAAGAGAGATGTTATCTTCCTTCATGAGCAGATCTTGTTTCCCTTTGGATATCAACAGGTTTTTGATGTCATGAAAAAGTGTTCCTGTTATTTCTGTTGCATTGACTTCTATGTAAAACTGAATGTGACATTGTCGAGTGGTTGACTTCACTTTCTGCTCTAGGCCACACGCGTTACAAGTAATGACTGTGGATTTTTCGGGAGTGACCTATTTGCATTGGCAGTATGCGTGATATGCAGTGAATAAGTGAACTCCAAGTATTTCTGCAAGTGTAGTAGTTGTTGTAAATGACTTGGGTAGTTCAAATTCTCTTTGAACGGTGTATTCTCTACAGCTTTGCACCCAGTTTTGGGTGTTACTAAGATTATATCTTGGGTTTTGTATTCTCCTCTTACTAAATGATTATCAAATGGATAGGTTTTCCCTTCTTCCAAATCACAAAATCGATCCCATAAGGTTACCTTTATTGTGCCAGAAGGGTCACCAAGGTAGGCGTTGACAAGGAATTTTTCTCCATCATCAGTTTTGACTTTATTCTTGTCACCTTTTTGTAGTAGTTTGGCTTTTATTGCAATCATCTGATACGTATTAATTGCAGAGATTGTGCCTATATTGTTGGTAGTGGGTATTTCCTTTGGTTGAAAGTCGAAACAAAAAAGTGTCACAGTTAAGTTATCTCTTAAAAGCAATTAGTGG